TAAAGTTGTTGACGTCTGCACTTATTCGCACCCTTATGTGCGTTTTTCTCATCTATTGTGTTCGGCATTACCGCTCGTACACTTTAGACATGAAAAAAAGAAAAGGGATTCTAGAACGACCATCTTCTATATTTTCAGTCGATTTTGAGTTCATGCTCTTTGGAATATCTGGAACATGATCAGATTGCAAGTTAATAGTGGTAAATATTCACAATACACCCGCGCTCCACATATAGAAATTTTGCATGAATAGATCCAGTAGGAAGGAAGTTACGACTGAAAAGTACCGTTGAAAACCTATTCCACCGAAGACTTTCAAGCGCTACTGTAGTTTGACCGAGACGTTATTGAAGGTATATTAAAGGTATATCTATAAATTCTTCATGAGATAGCAAAAATATGGCAGCCATCCAACTTATGGAGTCTTGCCGTGTTTCGCGAACTTTATTCTATAGACTTTCATCAAGAAGGAACGTCGTGAAACGACCCATTGGAAGAACCTCTTTTTGCAATAAAATGCTCTGAGTGTCGACTTTTCGAGTGCAAGGCTGTCAGTTTATTTCAGTAAAGTGAATGCTAATCAACTTCTAAATGGTAACTTAGACTCAGGTATCCTTTCTAGATCGGTGGAAATTAGAGTTTCAGGAGTTACGATGTTTAGTGAGTTGTTCCTGAACCCAGAAGAGCAACTGAAGTTACGTAGTGAAAGTCACGTTCCTATGGGGTCAGTGAAATTGAAAGTTCATTATTGAAGCTCTGCCGTGAATGAAGGTTATACTCAGTCTTTACATCGCTACAGCTTTTATATAGCTTTTCATATAGTTATTTCTTTTACATTTATATTGTTTACCATCTCAACGATGTGTAAATACGATACATTCATTTACATTCAGCAGATTTTCTTAAGACAATCAATGAATAGTAATGGCTTCAAACTATAGAAATAGATTAACAAAAAATGGCAGGAATTTGAAACAGACAGGCACAATTCTTTGCACCCTCCTATATGTGATCCTAGTTTTGGGTAATCCTGTCTACATTGATACATCCTTAAGGAGGGGCACATCCAAGTAGACAGGATGTTGCTGAGCTTCGGGCCCTGACTGCAACGTTTCTCCCTAGCACCTAGGTTGTAAGCATTCCTGTCAACTAGCTTTAGGCGGAAGCAATGGCTAATGCTTTCCTTGTCTTCCGTAGTGGTGGTTCCGATTCAAATACAGCGAGCGTCATCATGTGTTTGTCAGAAATTAAGAGCCAAGGTCATTTAAGTCGTGATGAGTATCAAGTAGTCTTCTCAATCCCCATCCCCACCTAGAGAGAAGTTCCACTACTACTGTCCAGAGATTTCTAAGCTCAAACGAAAGCTGGTATCAAACCATACCCATGGGTTGCTTGACAGTAGTAAGCACATAAAGCATAGTATAAAAGGAATATTATAGAAGACAATAGTAAGTGAAACCATCCGAAGATATGCAGGCAG